CTGCGTGGAGCACTGGGTGTTATGCACAAACAATGAATCATGGAACACTACATCAAAAACTAATGATGTAATGTATGGTGACTAACATAACAATAAAAAATTATTAAAAAAAAGGACTACTTGAATTTCATAAATTGAAAGCAATTTGCAGTGATTTTCTGACTCCCAGGCTCAGATTAGGCTGTAATATTAAGCCTTTTAAAATTTAAATAGGTATGTTTTTCCCTCCCAACTTTATTGAGGTATAATTTGCATATAATAAACTGCATATGATAAAAGTATACAATTTGAGATCTGACTTATGTATACAGCTGTGAAACCATCACTCCAATCAAGAAAATTAACATGTCTATCACTACAAAATGTTTCCCCCTTTGTGATACTGCCCTCCCACCCATTTCCATGCCCCATTTTTCATCCCTCCTATCCCACTGATCTGCAACCACTGATCTGCTTTTATCACTATAAATTGGATTTTCTAGAATTTTTTATCAGTGGAATCACACAGTATGTATTCTTTTTTGTCTGGCTTCTTTCACTCAGAATAACTATTCTGAGATTCATCCATGTTACTGAGTCTATCAATTGTTCATTCCTTCTTATTGTCAAGTAGTATTCCATTGTGTGGATATACCACAATGTGTTTCCATTCATCTGTTGATGGGCATTTGGGTTGTTTCTAGTTTGGGTCTACCACAAATAATGCTGCAATAAATATTCGTAGTCTTTGTGGGTGAATACCTAGGAGTGGAATGGCTGGATCATATGGTAGGTGTATGTTTAGCTTTTAAAGAAATGGCCAAATTTCCACTTTAAGAAATGGTCCAAACTTCCAAAATAGTTACATCATTTTATATTCCCAAAATGCAGTATATACAAATTCCAATTGTTCCACATCCTTGCCAACAATTTGTATGATCAGCCTTTTTAATTTTAGCCATTCTGTGACTAGGGTGTACAGTGATATCTCATTGTACTTCTACTTTGCATTTCCCTGATGACTAATGACGTTAAGCATCTTCTCATGTGTCTATTTTGTCATCAATATATCTTCTTCGGTGAAGTGTCTGTTTAAATTTGATGCCCAATTTTAAAAAATTGGGTTCCCTCCTTACTGACTTGTAAGAGTTCTTTATATATCCTAATTAGAAGTCCTTTATCAAATATATGCTTTGCAAATACTTTCTCCCAGTCTATGGCTTGCCTTTTTACTTTATTAAGTATGTTTTGAAAAGAAGTTTTAATTTTGATAAAGTAAAACTTATTAATTTTTTCCCTTTTAAGATTTATGCTTTTTGTGCCACGTTTAAGAAATCTTTGCCAAATCCAAAGTAACTGAGGTTTTTTCTTATATTCTAGTCTGTTTTATAATTTAGAAAATTTAATTGATTTTCCTGTCTCTTCAACTGTAAAATGAAGGTGTTAATAATACCTACCTCATAGGATTGCTATGAGGATTAAATTAACACCTTTAAAGTACTTAGAACAGGGCTTGTTCTAATGGTCAATAAATATTATACATTATTAGAGGGCAGGATTAATTCTTCACAGTATAAATCTACAAATGATTGAAGGACAAGTGTCCAAACATTAAGAATCATAAAGTTTAATTTAGCTGCTAAGTAGCTTAATTTAGTTTAAGCTACTGTAAGTAGTTTAAACCTGAGTTTAAATCCTTGCTCTGCTGCTTACGGGCTATGTAACTTTGAGCAAGCTACTTAAACAAGAGCAATGCCAGGAAGGTGACCTAGTATAGTACGTGGCACACAACAGAAGCTTAAGGGACAGCAATAGTATCACCAGCATTTGTTCATAGTAATTGCTGCCATTTATGAGGGCTTACCTTTTGGGACCCTGTGCTAATTACTTTCCATATAGTCTTTTATGCTTCTTAACCTAGCTAGGTGAGTATAATCGGCCCCATCTCATGGTAAAGTAACAAGATTACCTTTGTGCAGCTATGACCAGGGGGAGGTTGGCGGCCTAATAAGGAGTGGCTTGGACTTCAACCCTTGCCCAAACCCGGGATTTACAGTGCGGCCTTTGTCACCAGCTGGGCCCTCGACAGCTGCTGGGGAGATGACGCCAGGAGAGGCGGCAGCCGGCCAGGGCCAAGGCCACCTCACAGAGCCGCGCCTCAGCCTGCCAGGCGAGGCTTCTCCCGCCGCCTCTCGGGCACGGCCCATTCCTGGGCCGCCCCCTCCCCTCTCAGACGGCTTCCGAGGCTCGGGCGTCGAAGGTCCTCAGACAAAGCGGCGCGAGAGCGCGGGAGAGCGGGAGAGCGGGAGCGCGGGAGCGCGGGAGCGCAGGACTGCCGTGAGAGGTTGGGCACCGTTTCCAGGCAATACGCTGGGGGCAGGGCTTCTGCGTCACTGAGGTGCGACCCGGTCGCAGGCCGAGGCAGCGTCGCCGCCGCCTGCGGGTCTGAGCTGCGGGCAGAGGCGGAGCTGCTGCCGCCGGAAGCGCGATGCCTTGAACCTGGGGTGAGCTGCGCGGGGCTGTCCTTTCGCCGTTTCCCTTCCTTGTTACTCCAAGACCCTAGGGCTGGGAGGAGAAACACCTGCCAGTCCTCAGCTGCTGAGAGGCGCTTCATTGGGGAAACAGGCCTGGCCCCGCCACCCTTCCTAGGCCTCGGCTTAGGGCTGAGCGCTGGCTTGGGAGGCCTTTCCGTGGACGCTATGTCCCCAACCCGACAGTTTCCAGTGACCGGGGCTGCAGATGGCCTGTCCCGCAGGAGGGGTGATTCTGTGGAACCAGGAGAGAGTTTGTCCTCCTTGAGCCGGGAACCGCTTTTGAATATTGCCGCCGGCGCAGTCAGTGGGCCAGCGGACGTAGCTGTTGGCTAAAAGTGCAGGTGCGCTTGAGGAGGGGCAGAGGCGGCTAGGACGGCCAGAGGGTGGCGGGTGTGCATAGCAAACACACGGATGCTGCAGAAACCTATGGGCCACTGCCGCACTGGACACCCCAGGTTAGAAACCCTTGCCTCAGGCGATAGCTCAGAAATGGCCAGGTCGGTCTGCTTAGCCGGCCCTCCATTGCTAAATTGCCTTACACTGCCCATCTTCCCAAAGGGCTTACCTGGTCCAACCAGCTACCCTGGCCCCGTCGGAGACAAAAGGTTACCTTGCTAATACTTGTAGTGACTATTCCTGGAAAGGAAGCCTTCTGTGTTAGCTTTTGCAGTGATTTTTTTCTTTTATGTGTATTGTGTTACAAAATGTGGATTTACTGCTGTTACTCAAATTTATCCCTAGCCCTTTTATTAAATTTCAGTCTATGTTCATATTCCAACTCCGTCCTATTTCATGTTGACAAATGACTTAGTTCTTCGCTCTGGTGTATTTATAAAGCTGCCTTAACACTTACTATGGTTTGTAAGTCTTAGATCTTCTGCATAAAGTTATTCTTTTCCAGCTCTCCTCTGCCCATTCTTGCTATAAAATAAGTTCCATCCATTCAGAATTTCATCTGGGCTATGAGGTACCGTGGATCAACGATCCTAAATCAGTAACCTCTATACTGAAAAAAAAAAAAAAAAGTGATGCTTTCTGAATTAAGAACTCAAAAGTAGTATGGGTTTTTCTCCTTTCCTTTGATTCTGCCTGACTGCAGTTTCTAAGTAGTTTCCTCCAGAATATGATCGTAGGTTTCCAAAATGTGTTCTTTGTCATTTGGTGTAAGTGAACTGTGTAGCCTGATCCTTCTTACTTCATGTCTAAACACTTAATATACTTCCCTTCCCCTTCTCGCAGAGTGGTAGGGAAGGTCCAGAGAGAGTTCTTACAAGTATAGTTGATGTGTTTTTCTAAATATGAAATGTATTTAGTAAACACAGCAGTGCTATCAGAAATCCATAGTCTTAATCTCAAGTACTCTCTTTTTGTAGTTTTTCTTTCTATAATTCTTTTTTTCTAATTAAGATCTTTGAACGCAGGACAAGTATTCCAGCTCTACAGTAACTGGTCTAATTGTTTCCTTAGAATCTGTTAATAGTTGCTATTAATTTCTTGTCTTGCAGAACAGCTGATATCTGCTTACAGATCTAGGGTTTGATTAAGCAGTGAGTAATAAAATAAATAATACCCTTAAGGATCTAGTTTTTAGAACTTAGTTTTTACCACTGATGTTAAAGCTGACTTAACAATGAAAGTAGTTGATGATTATTTCAATTATAAGTATCATATTTGTAAGTAAAGAAGTCGATACAAAAATTCATGGAGAACAGGTTTCAGAGAGGTTTTCTAAATACTACAGTACTTGTCACCTAGTCATTTTACTGTGCTTTCAGGCTTCTTAACATTGCTTTAATCCTTTTATGAATGGATATGGTTTAAACATTCATGGAAGTTTTTTGCTTTGTTTTGTTTTTTGTTTTGCCAGTTATCCATGATGTGATTCTTATATCTTTGTAATGAATATTTGAACTACAACAATTCATTTGTTAGAAAAAGAAGTGATCAAGTGTATGTTACCACCCACTAGAGAATGTGGCATTTTTGGAATCCTTGACATCCTTATGAGTTTCAAAATAACATTTGTTCTTTATTTAGAAAATCCTTCAATCCTGGTTTTTTGAAAGCACATTACAGGCATACCTTGGAGATATTGCAGGTTCAGTAACAGACCACCACAGTAAAGTGAATATTGCAGTAAAGCGAGTCAAATGAATTTTTTGGTTTCCCAGTGCATGTAAAAGTTATGTTTACACTATACTGTAGTCTATTTAAAGTGTGCAACAGCATTATGTCTTAAAAAAAACAACGTATATACCTTAATTTAAAAAATACTATATTGCTAAAAAATGCTAACCATCATCTGAGCTTCCAGCAAGTCGTAATTTTTTTTTTTGCTGGTGGAAGGTCTTGCCTCAGTGTTGATGGCTGTTGATTGATCAGGGTGGTGGTTGAAGCTTGGGGTGGCTATGGCAATTTCTTAAACTAAGACAGTAATTAAGTTTGCCTCATCGATCGACTCTTGCTTTCATGAATGATTTCTCTCTAGTATGTAACGTTATCAAAATTGGAGTCAATTTTCAAATTGACTTGTCAAATCCTGCCACTGCTTTACCAACTAAGTTTATATAATATTCTAAATCCTTTGTTTTCATTTAAACAGTCTTCACCACATCTTCAGCAGAAATAGATTCTATCTCAAGAAACCACTTTCTTTGCTCATCCTTAAGAAGCAACTCCTCATCCATTGACGTTTTGTCATGAGATTGCAGCAATTCATTCACATACTCAGACTCTACTTCTAATTCTCCTTCTCTTGCTCTTTCCACCACATCTGCAGTTATCTCCTCCAGTAAAGTCTTATACCCCTCAAAGTCATCCATGAGGGTTAGAATCAACTTCTTGCAAACTTCTGTTCACATTGATATTTTCACTTCTTCCCAGGAATTATGAATGTTCTTAATGGCATCTGGAATGGTGAATCATTTCCAGAAGGTTTTCATTTGACTTTACCCCAGATCCATCAGAGGAATTGCTATCTGTGGTAGCTATAGCCTCACAAAATGTTAACGAATAAGACTTGAAATTACTCCTTGATCCATGGGCTACAGAATGGATGTTGTGTCAGCAGGCATGAAAACAATATTAATCTCACTGTACATCTCCATCAGAGCTCTTGGGTGACCAGGTGCCTTGTCAATGAGCAGTAATAATTTGAAAGGAATCCTTTTTTCTGAGCAGTACGTCTCTATAGTGGGCTTAAAATATTTAGTAAGCCATATTGTAAACAGTTGTGCTACCATCCAGACTTTATTGTTGCATTTTTAGAGCATAGGCAGAGTAGTTTGAGCATAATTCTTAAGGGCCCTCAGATGATCGGAATGGTAAATGAGCATTGGCTTCAATTTAAAGTCACCAACTGCAGGGGCGCCTGGGTGGCTCAGTCATTAAGTGTCTGCCTTCAGCTCAGGTCATGATCCCAGGATCCTGGGATTGAGCCCCGAATCGGGCTCCCTGCTCAGTGGGAAGTCTGCTTCTCCCTTTCCCACTCCCCCTGCTTGTGTTCCCTCTCTTGCTGTCTCTGTCAAATAAATAAATAAATAAAATCTAAAAAATAAATAAAGTAAATAAAGTCACCAACTGCAGGGGCACCTGGGTGGCTCAGTCGGTTAAGCATCTGCCTTCAGCTCAGATCATGATACCAGGGTCCTGGGATCGAGCTTCTCCCTGTCCCTCCGCCAACTGCCCCTGCTTGCACTCTCTCTCTCTCAAAAAAATAAATCTTAAAAAAAAAAAAAGTCACCAACTGCATTAGCCCCTAATAAGAGAGCCAACCTGTCCTTTGAAGCTTTGAAGCCAGGCATTGACTTCTTTCTAGCTATGAAAGTCCTAGAGGACATCTTCTTCCAACAGAAGACTGTTTGATCTACACTGAAAGTCTGTTGTTTAGTGTAGCCACCTTCATGACTTATCTGAGCTAGATCTTCTGGATAACTTGCTGCAGCTTCTATATCAGCACTTGCTGCTTTACCTTGCGCTTGAATGTTACAGAGATGACTTCTTTCTTTAAACCTCATGAACCAACCTCTGCTTGCTTCAAACTTCTCTTCTGCAGCTTCCTCACCACACTCAGCCTTCATAGAATGGGAAGGTGGTTAGGACTGTGCTCTGGATTAGGCTCTGGCTTAAGGGAATGGTGGCTGGTTCCATCCTCTATCTAGACCACTAAAACTTTCTCCATATCAGCAATGAAGCTGTTTCATTTTCTTATCATTTGTGTTTTCCCTGGAGTAGCACTTTTAATTTCTTTCAAGAACGTTTCTTTTGCCTTCACAACTTGGTTAACTGGTGCAGGAGGCCTAGCTTTTGGCCTGTTTCAGCTTTCGACCTGCCTTCTTTATTAAGCTTAATCAGTTCTAGCCTTTGACTTAAAGTGAGACGAGTGACTCTTCCTTTCACTTAAACTCTTAGAGGCTGTTGTAGGGTTATTAATTCGCCTAATTTCAATATTGTTGTGTCTCAGGGAATGGGGAGGCTAATGGAGAAGGAGAGAGATCAGGGGAACAGCTAGTCCGTGGAGCAGTCAGAATACACACAACATTTATCAGTTAAGTTTGCTATCTTATATGGGTGCAGTTCATGGCACCCCAAAACAATTACAATAGTAACCTCAAAGATCACTGATCACAGATTACCATAACAAATATAATAATAATGAAAAAGTTTGAAATATTGCAAGAATTACTAAAATGTTACAAGAAATGAAGTGAGCAAATGCTTTTGGAAAAATGACACCAATAGACTTGCTCCATGCAAGTTGCCACAAACTTTCCATTTGGGGTTGGGGTGGAAAGGCAATATTTGTGAAGCACAGTAAAGCCACGTGCAATAAAACAAGGTGTGCCTTTATATCCTGCCAGAAAGGACTAAATTATAGGTGGCATAGTATATGAGAGCTGCTAGTTCTTTGAAATCTTTTTACGGGAGATTTATCTTTTGCTGAATCTATGCCAGTAGTTTGCAAATTATAT